ATCGTCATTCGGTTACCGGAGCCTATAACCAATCGTCCAATTAACATTTCGGAACGAAACTCCTGTTTCCGGTAAACCAAGTTTCACTTTGCCGACTCGAACGGTAACGGCATGTTCCACTGAGAAACCGGACCGTGGAGCGTTTTTCGGATTGAATCTTCGTCGAATCGCGGCCAGGGAATTTCAGCGACTTTTCCGGCGATAGCGACCTCGTCCGGTTTCCGATTTCTGTCGACGATCTCGGGTTTCTTCGCGTCTCCTCCGTGTGCCCTCGTTTCCATCCGCCGCGGGACAAGATAAAACCGCGAGCTTCCGACAGCGACGACAACGACGACGAACCGTGTTCCGTCGAACGTCATCGTTTACTATCGTCGAATTTTTCTTCGTTATCGTGTAAACCCAGTCTGAATTTCTGCTGTACGTCGTGTTCGAGTTTCTGCGATTTCTTGCGACACACATCGACTCGATAGAAGATCATCCGCTTTATTCGTTATCCTTTATTACGATTCACCAACACGAGCGTACGTTAATCGCGCAGTAAACAGAAATATAATATCGTAGCAATACTATATCTCTCTCTAATCACATCATCCGTATTTATTGCAACTGTGTTCGGACTAGGAAAATAGAAAATCAAGGTCTCTCAATCTTTTCATACATGCATAGTTTTCGAGTCTGTACGATATAATCGTATCGCTGTTAAATATCATTGCTTGTTGCGAAGTAGAGTAAAATATATTGTTCTAATATACGAAGTGAGCAATTATACAGTTAACGATACGAAATAGAATGGAACGACGAGCAGAGAATAATTCGAGAAAAGTGTCTCCCACGAGCGTTGTTTCGTTCTCCGTTTCCCGACGAGTGAAACGGAGCACCGGCGAGGGAGAGAGAGGGCTTAACGGGGCCAATTAGCGAGGAGAGCCCAGCGATTTCGTCGATCGCCGGGGCTGGCCCATCTGGGTTTCGAATCCGTTGAAACGGAGGCGTGGGCCAGGCCCGAGAGCCCAGGGGAAAGTGGAACAGCCGCGCTGCCTCGCCGGTGAAAACGAGGAAGTTAGGTGAAAACCGCCTGCGCTAAGCCCGAAACAACGCAATTATAGCGAACGTACGCCGCTCTGGGAACGGATGCTCGCTGGATTCAGCTTCCCTGCGTCCCATCCTTCGAGGCAACCTGTGTTTCGATCAAATTCAACTTCAATTTCGACCAGAATATAGACTTCCGTTCACCGTCCTCTCACGTTTTTGGATTTCTAGATACCAACGTCTCGAGTGAAACGTTTCAGTCAACCTGTTATTAAGCAATTATCGATGAAAGTGAACCGAGGATTACAAGAAAGTGGTGGTGGAACGATCGCGATAGTTTGAGCGTATAGTTGCTTTACTTTCAACTTCTCCAAATTGTCTAATCGCTTCGAGAGATCGCAGCGTTGCAGAAAAATGTACGGCTTATGAATTGCGAAAGCTCGAAGACGGTGGCATTTCGCACGATACGGAGACACGGGAGAGATCCTCGGTCGCTAGATCGTCGTTAGAAGGATCTCTCCGGCCGGCAATTAGCATTCCCTCGATCCACGATCCACGATCCACGATCCACGATCCACGATCCACGATTCGCGATCCCCGGCACGCGTGCGTCGATCCGTGATCCCGGGGTCTCTCGTTTCCCACAAAACTGCCCGCGTTACGTTCACCTCCGCCGTGGAATCACGACAGAACCGTTTATCTTTCTCCGCGCCGGCAAAATGTCGCCGTGGCCCGTATAGAGAGCAACCTCTTCCCCGTTCTCTAGCGACGGCGAACGTGTTAGACCGTCTAGCGCGAAACCCGACGTGGGAGTATAAAACGTGGAAGTGAAAGTTAGAGCAGCCTCGACGATAAGGAGGGAGAGAGAGCTTGCGTAAAAGACAGTTAATACCTTGACGAAAGAGATGTTTGCCTCTTGTTCAATGATCGGGTAATCGTCCTGGCTTGCTGGTACGTTGATCGACGCGTCGATTGCGCGTTCATCCGAATCTCTGTGTCGTCGACGATTGTTTCTTCGACGAAACGGGAAGGGAAACTCGAGATTTCTCGTTAACGCTTGCCAAATTAGAAGTTGTGAAACTCTACAGACCTGTTTCTCGAAAACGGAAGCTTCGACGTTGATTAAAATAATCTCCTTTCAGCAGAAAAATGTTTGCAAATGCCTCTAACTTGCTCCTAGATATAGTTCATAGATATCTCGATTTTTCTCGGTCTCCTCGGATTAGTGCGCGCCACGGGCCGAACACTCTCTCGCTAATCCGTGAATCGGCACTTTCACGCGTGGTATCAGTAAAAATTTCGTTTTTCCTTGGTTTTTCTATGCCTGGCTCGAACCGATCGCGGGATTTCTCTTAGCCGGCGGTTGTGCAGCGTATTGGAAAGTGAAAGGAGAGAATGAGAGTCTTTTTCGCGTGGCCGGGGACTCGATTTATCCTCCGGAAAAGATCTGTATCTAATCGGGGATCGGTGCGCGGCCACCGCGGGACACGTGTACGCTTCTGATCACGTGTATTAGATCATTCCTCGTTGTACACGGTCGGTCGCGCGTTCGATCGGATCTAGGCATTTATATTCGTTTCAATTACGCGACGTCGTCTTCGTTTTCATTCGCGAATCGTTTCCCGTTCAACAGGTTCAATCGCGAGTTAACAGCGATTCTCAACGGTGAACTCCATCGAAACCTCGTAGATATTCTTTCGATAAATCTATGAATAATATCGAAAAACTCTGAGTCGTCGCTTGATCTTTGAAACACTTGCCTCTATTCGGTATTCTTGTCGAGTTCAGAAACGAATTCTTAAAGATAACGAATAATCCAGAGCAAAAGGAAGTCCACACGGGAAACCGTATATCGCGACAAGATGGCGAGGCTCGCTATCAGCCTCGCGTTCACGGATATCGCGGTTCGGTTATTTTCCCATTGGACACGCGAACCGCAGTTGTACCATATGCGGTTCACCTGCTCGTATCGTGGTGTCACGTGTTCGTCGTCGAACGCGACCGGCGTCCGTAAGCGGAAGCGTTGTCCTTTGGAAGGGGATAAACACTGTGATATTAACCCATCCGGCGTCCTGGACGGCTTTGTGTCGTTAATTGTCGCGTCGAACGCATCGACGGTCACCGGTGACCGGTGCACTCCACTTTCCAATAACTTGTTAACTTGTCAGTGTTATCAGTGACGCGACGTAACGTAACGTGTCGATGTTCAACGAGATAAACATGTTTAAAGAACGACAATGGTACTCGGTGGCTATTAAATAATTGATTATTACATTTGTCGTATTCACGTTTCAACTTGGCGCAGTTAATTAGAATCCAATGATATTCATTCGTAATAGTGAAATTGCTGTCGCGGTATAACAGAAATGTTATTGCTAAACGATAAAAGGCACCGCAGAAATCGATTCGACGCTAAACACGGCAGGGACGAGTCCGGAATAAAGGATGGAATTAACTCGAGCCCCGGGGTAAAAGTTACCGGAGTCTACAACCCTTTCAACCCCAATTACATTTCCCAACCGTCGCCGCCGTGGCTGTGCTCGAATTTTGCGTTACTTACCTCTGCGCGCGATACACCGTGGTCCCTTCAAAGTGACTCAAGTCGGTGAGGGTTAATAACACTAACAATTACCGACGACACGTGTGCGCGCTCCCTTGACAAAAAAAAGGGCTGCTCGCTTCTCCACCGCCCTCTCGTACAGGGGTCGAGCCGCTCGTGCCTCGGAGGGTCGGAGAAATCGAATTGATACCGCGGAAATTAGCGGAATCGACGGAAAATGGATAATCGATGACGAAAGCAAACGGCTTTGCGACAGCTTTTCATTTTAAGTTTGTCGCGCTGAAGGAGATAGGATTTCCGTTCTTCCGAGAGGAAGGACAGTTAATGGGAATGAATTAATGAACTTCCAAGGGATGAAACCGATGAATACTGTACGCAGAGTGGGTCGTTTTCATTCGTCCGGCACTCGGAGTTTCTAGAATGCTTCCTCAATTATGAAGTCCAGAAAAATGACCCATTTCCCAGATGAGTTTATCCTCCCAAAGTGACTCGCGATGTAAAATATGAACATCCCCTGAAAGTCCTTGAAAGTGTCCCCGTTCTCGAGGGTCTAGAGGTAAGATGTTCCGCTAAGATGTTCCGCTAAGATGTTCCGCTAAGATGCTCCACTAAGATGTTCCACTGAAATGCATGGAAATTGCAAATTCTAAGAAAAACAATTGAGCGTTTCTTCGGTGGTAATAAAGCTCGTGTAAACTGTCCCATTTGCCATCGAAACTAGATCAACCGAGAGAAGCCGTGGCGTCCCTTAAAGCCCATGAAACCGGGCCAGTTTCCGAGGAAGATGGTAGCCTAGGAAGAATCGGAGGATTAACCGAGGCGATCCGTCACCGTTATCGCGTTAGCGTATCGATTGGCCAGTCGATAAGGGGTCGGAAGATTGGGGCAAGCCGGCGCATCCCGGTTTCCCGAACGGACCCGGGTCCGATGAACCTGCGCGCGCTGCGCGGGGGCTAATGCACTCGAGAGTCGATGATGCTCGAGCCGTTCTTCCGTACTTGGCGCACGTGAGCACCATCGCGTGTGCCCTGCATACCCTTCTTCTTTCATGCTCCTTTCGACCCTCTCCTTTCCACCCCCCTTTGTCTACGTATCAACCCTTTGCCTAGCATCAAGAGAACTCTCTGTTCACGTGCGCCGATCGGATGCGACCTTCGTTTGGAAAAATTTAGGGTTTTAGCGGCCCCCTCGAGTCGATGGGGTATCGAGTTTTACGCGAGAGACTCAAATACTAAGTAGACTAAGACTCAACGTTTCGTTCCAACTTTGAGAGTCGAGTTTCGGAAAGATTCGTACAATTCTAATTAGCTTCCAACCCTCTGTTTCTCTAATCGACGGATAAACCATGGAGATTGGAATTGTCAGTGATGGAATAAAATGAAACTGACGGAATTGTCTTGATTTCGTGTTACAGTCTTGCGGTGAGCGACTGTGCGCCTCAAACGTCGCGGGTCAGCTCGAACTTGCACAGCAGCAGTAGTATGGCAGTAAGTCGTGTACCGAGCCCACCACCACCGGAAGTGAACACCCCCGTCGCCGAGAATTGGTGTTACACGCAGGTACGTACCAGACATACTATCTTCCGATGCTATGTTGCAATTTAATTGACCTAATCCGGACCACGTTGAAAGTGAACCTTAACATTCTGTGCTGTACTTTACCTGTAATCTGGACTACTTATCGCAATCAAGTCGAAACTTTAAATGCGATTTCTAGTATTTTCTAGTGACAATCACTTTCCTGTTGAATAACTCATATTATTTGCTATTAATTAATAAGTAGTTGCTCTAAGAAATAACGAATCTTGGCTTATCTTTCCACGTAAACAAATAAGAAAAAACGCGAATCTCAGCTTCCGAATTGAGTTGCGATGGATCATCGGCACGATCGTTAGCAGTTAGGGGATGGTGCAGGTGTTCTCGAGGGATTCCCATGATCCTTCTCGCCGATTTCGCGTTCGTCGATATGATATCCGCGTCGCGGCGCGTGCTCTCACGCGCTCCTGGCGCTCTCGTTCTATTTTTACTGCTCGTCCCCTCGCGATGTGAACGACCTGCAACTAGATATCTTGTTTCTCTCGTCCCTCGCGGATCCTATCATTTGGCCGTGGAAAACTGCCCGGTTTCCCTAGGAAAATTCGAAAGTCCCGCGAAAAACCTTTCTCCTTTATCATCCCGTGCATCGGTGTTAATCTAAGCCGAGTCCTAAAGAAACACTGGCAAACTTCGTATTTATCTTGATTCACCGTAGAGAAGGGATTCGTTGGAAATCGATTTTCATTTATTTTAAATGAAAAGAAACGAGGAATTATCGACGAATCTCCGGAGAGTGCACGATCGAGCGTCGATATTTGTCGTATTAAGCGAAACCCGACTGCCCCCTCCCTCCTCTCGCGAAGAGAGTACTCTCAGTTTTCAGGGAACGCGAGCTCGCTACTCCCTTCCCCGGTGGCCGCCGAATCGAAAGTCGATTCGTGCTCCAGTTAACTTTCGTAATGCGCGCCGATTTCGCCGTGTCAGCGCCGGGTGCAGCAATCGCGGCAATCGCGGCAATCGCGCACCATCGCGCACCATCGCCGCTGAATCTGTCGTAACCCGCGATCGATCGGCTCGATAAAAGCGGTAGAAAGCGGCCGCGATGCTGTCCCGAGCCTTTCGAATCTGTCGTCGATCGTTTTCCTCCCTTTCGGCGCTGTTTCTCGCTGCGAAAGGGTGTCGGCTCTTCGGTTCTCCGGATATCGAGCAGCGTTCTTGGCTTCTCATTGCGAATTCTCATTGGTTTCCGATTGAAAGATTTCAAAGCTGGCGACTTTAAAACTGCTCGCAAGCATTCTAGATCCATCAAAGATCGCCGCGATCCATTTCCCGTCGCAATAAAACCGCTCGATCCGGCGTGCGCAATCCCGAATCTGTCGGACTCTCCCATGGCAAGATCCCCGCGCGCAGATTATCCACCTCCGCCCATTTAGTTGTAATACCTTCGATCGCTATCGGCGTCGCCAGTCAGGCCCGCCCCACGCAATCCCGCTAATGGCCATTATCACTCGTTGCCTTTCATTTCCACGTCGTTATCTCGAGGCACGTGTTCATCGTCCTCGCCGAACACGCCGGATCAAAGCGCTACGGGCGAGATTCCATCTAACGATAGCATTCGAACCTTCCTTTCGTCCTTTCGTCCTTTCGATGAAGATATTCGGAGAACATCTCGGCTCTCGAACGGTTCCGATACCTCTCGACGGCGCGTGCGAGCTTGTTAGCGACATCGTTCGACGGAGGAAAGTGTTGCCGCAGTTCGGTGACTTTGCGCTTGTCTCTCGGAGCTTGGGATCAACTGGAGCTGTTCGAATCGAGAATCGCGTACGGTTGATCAATCTAGAACACTGAATAGCGTTGTTGGTAAAACTGCGGAAAATGTTGTTGCCTTTTCTGCAGATCGGCCGATTTGTCAATGTTCCCAAGAAGCAGAGCTCCTCGGGGTATCACGGCGGAGTCCTCGATGGAAGTCGTCGATGTTTCCACGGTAACGAAGGATCCTCGATCCTGGAGCGATCGTTTACCTCGATGGTGACCGGTGCTCGAGCACCGTGTCCGCGATTCTCTACCGGAAGCCTCGACTTGGTCTGGTGGTTGAACCCGTGCGCGCCGCTCCCGTAAACGGGCACGGGTGATTCAAGGCCGATCCACGACGACCGCCACGGCACCGGGTTGAACGACTCCTGGGGGCGTCGACCGGGCCTTCTTCTCTCCCTTCCTTCGACTACTCGCCGGCCACTGTGTTTTCTTCTATGCGGAAACGCGCGGAACGCGATGAACCTTCGGCACCTCTTCCCTGGGACCTGCTCGCACTTGTAAACTTGACCCCGGTAAGCTTCCGTGAGCCTTACGGGTTCTTTCTCTCGCTGTGGCTTCTGGGGATTTCCGATCCGCGAGCGAAAACTGCCACCGCTGTTGTTCTATCGGTGTTTCTCGAACTGTAGCTTTTAGGGATCTATGCTCGAAACGTTGCCTCTCAAACTATAGCTTCCGGGGATTCGTTAGGATCGCGCGTGATGTTATTCTCCGGTCGGGAAACCACGGTCTTTAAACCACACCCAGACACTTCCGTTTTCCGTTTAAGAGGCGTTCAATGCGCCTCGACTGCGATTTACGAGCGATACATTGCGAATCTCGGTTACAGCTGCTCTCGGCGCTAAGAGCTACCGCGGAACGTTGTTCCCTTCCCGAAATAGACTCCAAAACCATCGACAGTCCTCGGATCTAGAACTGTATCGGAGTACAGGCTCGGACAGTACGTCGTCGATCGTTATTGCGCACCAGTCGCGGAATATCGGCACATTAAGATGTCGTTTGATCGATCAGGAGCAATTTTATCTAAGCCTAGACGCAATCTTTGATCTAGCCGAGCGTTAATCGCTTCAGAATCCGCTTAGTCTCCACCTGAACGTCCACCGTGGACCGTTCGTACGCGACGAACGCTGATCTCTGACCCATTGATCGTTTCTGAAACGCGTTTCAAGGACGATTATGGCCGATCATCGCGAGTTGAACGACTCCCGGGGCCATCGACCGGTACACCTCGCTTTGGTTCCTGGTCGCCTCGATCCTCGGAAACGGACGAATCGTATCGATAGTCCCTCCTCCGGCTGCTTAACAGTACACGGGACCGATTAACAGTATCTAGAGGATTGGTGGGTGGTGCGTTTTCGCTGGCTTCTTTTTTCTCCCTCTCTCGAGTACTCGAGCAACCGGGATTCCTCGCGAGACTCTGGCCATTTGAATAATCGATGTCTCGCTTCGATGCCTTTCGAGTTCTTCTCTCCGCCTCCTGTACTTTATCTAATATTTCTCATCCTGTCATCTTAATTATCCTCGAACTGACCACGGATTACTGAAACCTTGATATCCCAGTATTTCTACGGCGATTCTTTCATCTTTGAACCGTACATCGATGCGATAGTCTTCGACCAACGACGATCCGACCAACGAAAGAAACTAGTATATAATAGCTACGGTGATTTCTAATGTTCATCGTTCCTCGATCATCGTCGGATTCGAAATCTCTCTCGAATCACAGCTGCGAGTCCCGTTGAAAATTTCTCGAATCGAATCCAGTTAAATAACAAGTGGAAATTTCGCAGCCGGTCTTGCGCAAAGCTGACGTAACCGGCGTAAAGGGTCAGTGTGCAGGCGGCCACGTGACCCGGCGCGGTTTACGAAAGGAATACGCACGAACCTCGTATCCGAGGGGATCAATCAAACGTTGCGGGCAGACTTGGAGCACGTCCAACCTGCGCTATTACGTGGAGGATACGGAATTAGCGTCGGAAAATAATACTACGTGTCCCTAGCTGGTAGCCATGGCGCTCGGTCAAGCGTCTTCTCATCTTTTCTTCATTTTTCGAAACTTCGTTGCTCCGAGAACCGAAATATTTTCTCGATCAGTCCGCAGGATACTGATGAACATTCGCGTGTTTAGTTCCCAAGCTAACTCCCGGTGAAAATTATTCGCAATTTATAATTTATACGGATTATAATGTCTTCGTTAACAAAAGCTTGAACACGTCGAAACAGTGTAACATTGAAACGATCGTTGCGATCGATAGGAAACTGACGAGAAAAGTGGCGTTAACTCGCGAGATCCGAACGAAAGAACGCTCGCGCTGGATCGTAGCGCGTGCGTCGGGTTCACGGTCGTGTTTCACGGTCGTGTTTCACGAGTTCCGGAAGTCGGCCAGCTGAATTTCGCAACGGAGCCGTGGAAGAAACATTTTCCGACCGTGAACCGTCGTCCCGGGACGTAACTGGTTACGAGATTACACGCACGAGCGTGCGTTGAACCGGGCGAGATAGCCGCCGCCTCCTACCTGTTTCGATGCGAATGTTGACCTTAAACTTCCGATGCGCGAAGGTCACGCTGAAGCGAGGATCATCGAACCCGTGCACGCGTGCACGCGTGCAGCACGTAAACGACGTGTATCCACTTTTCGAATCGCGCGCGCCAAACTTGACGGATTCCCTGGGATCGAGCATTTCCCGACCGGCCATTTTGTCGGGCGCTGGCGCGGCAAATTTGAATTTATTTCGCGACCGGTGTATTTTAGCCGTGTTTGTGGTTCAAGGTATTACTGTAAACGTGATTTTTTATCCTTGTTTCCGTAGAAACTAATTGAATTTAAGCAGACAGCTCCAACAGATTCTAACAGATTAACATAGAATTAAAGCTGAAATTTGCTGGCAACACGCGACCCCGAAGGGTTAAACGTTTCCTTGGCGTTTATTCGTTTATTCGTCGGAGCGAAAAGGTTAATGACGGTAATCGATACACAGAGAGCGTACAGAGAGATTAAGGACGCATTAGTTGTAACGAGGGCCGGAGGCCAGTCGTCCCCGATCGGCCACCGAGAGAATGTCGTTTCATTTGTACACCTCTCGAGAGGAGGCTACATTGTTTCTTACGAAAAAGGCGATACCGGGGAGAGAAAGAAAGAAACAGAGAGAGAGAGAGAGAGGAGGAGACTTTCACTTCGTCCAGGGTCGGTTGCGTCGTTGCTGCCAGGTGATTTTCTCACGATTCCCTTTGCGCGTATCCGATCATTCTGATCCGAATCAACGGAGAAATTTCTTTCTTCGTAGAGATATAATTTATCGCATTCAGAAGAATGCAAACATTCGACTAAGCCACGTCTGCTATTCAAATTCAGTGGTAAAGTTTCGATTTCTAGGTGGTTCGATTGGTTGTTACTTCTGCTCTCGATGATTATTTCCGGTTATCAACGTCTGGGAATGTTAGTTAGCGACGTCGGAAGATTTCGAAACGAATCCTAGTTTGAATCTCGGTAGACCGAAGCCGCCGTGAAACCCTAATTAATCGCAACCGCCGCTCCGATCGAAATCGATTAGCTTGTCCCCTTAACGCCTGTTTTCCGTCGCCGCTTCTCTTTCGGCTTCTCTTTCGGCTTCTCTTTCGGCTCGATTCGATTGGCAGTCGGTCAACGATCGGGGACAACGAGCGAAGGATTCGTGAAAATCGATGAAAGATTCGAACCCTCTCGCTTCTAATTTAGTCCGAAGCTTCCGATTCGGTTGCTTTGAAAGCGGTGTTTTCGCTTTGAACGTTATCTCCATCTCGAACACAGCCGCTTTTAGCTTCGATACTCCGTCGGAAGTCTTCCTCAAGGTCCGACACGTCGAGAATACGATGGAACCGATTTAGAATCAGTCTATAGCGCTAGATCATGTGATCTTCGGTGGATGGGCATGTTGGATTCCATTGGCCAGAGTGTTTGTTTCTTCGAAAATATCAGAATATTTTAGAATCGTTCTCGCGTTACCGCGTCCATCGATAATTAACCCACCATTCTCGATCGCGTTGGTCCTCGTTGTTCAACGGCCTCTATTCGTCATCTCGAGGCACGATGGTCATGAATACTATTTTATTTGAATCGCATAGAAAGTACAACGCATACGATGATCGATCCATCAAACCGAGATACATTTAAAAAGCCGAATCATCAAGAAAACTCGAAACGATCCGTAAACTCGCAAAATGTGTCGGTTTATCGGCGCTCCCGTCGGTCGCGCAACAAATCAAACGAGATTAAATCGTCGCGCGGCGATTACCGCGATCTACGTGACACGATCCGCGAGTATGTATCTCTGGAAAGCAATTTTTGTACGCTCGGTTATCGATCGATCGCCTACGATGTTCCGTTCGCTAGCAGAACTCTGTTGAACCTTTCCGATTCGACACCTGAAGCCTCGTTTACGTAAAAAGAGACAAAAAATAAATCGCTATACGTAATAAAGTGGTTCTCGTTTCTGTCGCGTAATGATAATTACTTGGTAACAATTTCGAACGATCGCTCGGAATCGTTGGCTGAAAATCAATAAAAAAAACAAGTCCCCTAAGGTTGTCCGGATCGTTGGATTCGATTGGACGGTCGATTCCGATCTAACAGAGTGTCCGCGATCGCGTTAACAGCTCCCTGGCTGGTAGATCGCCGATAAAAGGGCCGGTCGGCGTCGCTGGCGAACTAGACAAATAGATTTGGCTACGGGCACGGCTTGCTTCGCCAAGGTCGTGCACACTCGTGACGTCAGGGATCGTTGACTCCTGGGGGCTCGACCTCGGCTTCTTCGTCTTCCTCTTCCTCCCCTCCTCCGGCCCCTCCGCGCTTATCTCTATCTTGTTCCTCTTCCCCTACCCTCCCCGCGACGCGCTCGCTCGAACAGCTGAACCGGAGGAGAGAGCAATCGGCGAGGAGCGAATCGCTTTCGGGAACTCTGGCCACGAGCTTTTTCTTCCTCGAGAAATATCACTTTTCAGCCACTTCTCTTTCGAGTGTCGACGGATTAGGTAATAGATACCCTAGCAGCCCTATGTAAGCCCTAGCTTAGTTCGCTCCAAATAAAAACATAATCTCAACGATTCGCTTAAACATCGAACCAAGTTTCACTTGTATTCTCAACGCAATTCGATTAACATTAAAAAAAAATAAAATACAGCCTTCCTTAGACGCTTGCACAATTGGAAAAATCTGAATTTTTGTCACTCTCCGAGCACTTTCTCCTAAAGACACGTTCCTCTGTTGCTCATTGAAAGAACAAACTCGCTGCAGACTTTACCCACACGGGAACGAGACGGTGGCAGCTCTCGTCAAAGGTTAAATCCTTTTTCTGCGCGTTTTTCAAGGTAATTACGTAAGAGACATAAGTTCGACTCGACCCTGGCTCTCTCTCTCTCTCTCTCTCTCTCTCTCTCTCCCTCTCTCCCTCCCTCTCTCTTTCTCTCTGTCCCTCGCTCTCCCCGTACTTGTAGTTCTTCGCTGCTCGTCTGCTCGACACCAAGGCCACGATCAATTTAGTCGGCAGGAACCTTCGAACGTTCCTCTCGAAAAGAACTTCGTCTTCGCGAACCTTTCTCTTCCCTTTTGCCTCTTCTTCTCCTCCTTCTCCTTCTTCTTTTCTTACCGGGCGACGAAAAACTGGCGGGCAAAAATATATCCGAGGACAACGGACCTCGTCGAACGACGTAACTCGTCTTATCGATCATTCGCGATAGGAATAACGAGTGATGCGTCCTTTGAATCGTTCCCTGGTAGCAGATTTTCAATCTGAAAGAGGTTTCATGGGGTTCGTCGTTGAAACTTTGTACCGTGAAATACAGAAAACGCGGAGAATCGAGGGTAGCATTGGAAATTGCTCGAAAATTACTTGAAATTGAAGTTTGAAATGCGAGTAAGGGAAGAAAATGCTACGCTCTATCGATTTTCTGATTTTCGCTTAATATTCGATACAAATGGAAGTTGTCGAGCGTACGCTGCTTCGTAATGTTCCATGCATATTTGTTATAATTTATAATGTGAATTTGTACGAAACAAATGCGCCCATTCGGAGCGAACTAATAACTAATGATAACGCCGGAAATCACTGAAAGATCGCTCTCTGAAATATTCAGGATGCGAGTAGTTTCGCGACAAGTAATGCCTGCCATTTGCTGTTCGCCAGAAGTACAACGACGTACAGGGTGTTCCATAACTGATGATAATGACACTGGAAATCGCTAAAAAATTGCTCTTTGAAACATTCAGGACGTAGGCAGTTTTGTGACGAGCACTTCTGAAAAGTTTCCCTCGCTACCGATTCGCTGAGAATGCAGTGAGAAAGGTTCTCACTAACGCTCGAATAACATCTAGTCGCTTTATTCCACTGACAACTAAATAACAATCCCTAGAAAAGTTAGCGATACGCAAATTCCTCGGAATTAACTACCATTTTTAGAAACGAATTCGCTGGAAAACGTGGTCTCCCCAGATCAATTGAAATCGATTCTACTATAAGCTATTTAATTTTGTGAATTTTAATAATTTAGGATATTTAGTTACCGGGTGGCGCAGAATTAACGCACCTCGTGAAAAAGAAAAAGAGAATGACGGAAAGATAGAATGATCCCCATCAACCCCTTTCTTAGCGTGTAGATGAAACATAAAGCTAGTTTCCAACGGGACGTATTCTGACGTGGTGTCGCATTTGAAGGTCTTGTGTGCACAGGTGAAGGTGGTTAAGTTCAGCTACATGTGGACGATAAATAACTTCAGCTTTTGCCGGGAGGAAATGGGAGAGGTGCTGAAGTCGTCCACCTTCTCGGCAGGGGCCAACGATAAACTGAAATGGTAAGATCTTGTGGAATTCTCTCGGTCGTGTTCCTTTGCTTGTTAACCCTTTTAACCTTCGGATGATCGAAATACTGTTTTTCACTTGCACGAAAATGTACAAACGACGTTCCAACGATAACCAAAGAGATTAGATATTCTCATATTTTTTGATGTTCCGTTTGGATCACTTCCGACTCGGTGTCACCGCGCAAAGGTTAATAATCGGCGCGCAAAAGATCCTCGAATTCTTTTATTCTAGTTTCGCTGCGATTGCACACGGTTATGTTCGCGTTCGAAAAAACGCAGCCGGTTAACAGGTTAATCGTAAAAACGTCCACCGAACCGGAGGCCTAGTCGCGAACGGTGCCGAAAGTTCATCAGCCGGTACACTTTTCGAGAGTACTCGAGTATCGGACGTGTTCGAATGGAACGGAACGGAACGGGAAACGCGTAGAATGAATATTATGATGAAGGCTGCGATCGGTTTCCAGGTGCCTAAGAGTGAATCCTAAGGGTCTGGACGAGGAGAGCAAAGACTACCTGTCCCTGTACCTCCTTCTGGTCTCGTGCAACAAGTCCGAAGTCAGAGCAAAGTTCAAATTTTCTATCCTTAATGCCAAAAGAGAAGAAACCAAAGCAATGGGTGAGTTTGCGCATTATTCTTTTATTATCGAGACTCTTCGCGAGTCTTCCAGTCCACAATTTTCCATCATTGAAACGAAGTAAACGTTTAAACGTTCTGTTTCCAGAGAGCCAGCGTGCATACAGGTTCGTCCAAGGTAAAGATTGGGGCTTCAAGAAGTTCATTAGGAGAGACTTCCTGTTGGACGAGGCCAACGGACTCCTGCCCGACGATAAACTCACGATATTCTGTGAGGTATATACCTTTGTATGTTAATTGTTTAAATACTGGTCCCATGCTCGTTGAAACGAGCGAGGCATTTTGTCCTGTTTGACTACATCCGATGAAACGTCTTTCAGGTCAGCGTCGTGGCGGACAGCGTCAACATTTCCGGCCAGAGCAACACCATACAGTTCAAGGTGCCGGAATGCCGGTTGTCCGACGATCTGGGCCTCCTCTTCGAAAACCAAAAATTCAGCGACGTCACGCTGACGGTCTGCGGGAGGGAGTTCCAAGCGCATAAAGCCATACTCGCAGGTGAGTCGACGGCCAACCTCGGATTTCTTCGTTGAAAACTTTTAATATTGGACTATTTATACCGTCCTTTGAACCCTAGATCGCTAAGCTATTTCCTAAGCTTGGAAATTCATTGTAAAAGAATACCGTGCGTTTACCGTAGCTCGCAGTCCGGTGTTCTCGGCGATGTTCGAGCACGAGATGGAGGAGAGGAAGCAGAACCGTGTCGACATCACCGACGTGGACCACGAGGTGTTGCGCGAGATGCTCCGGTTCATATACACGGGAAAAGCGGCGAATCTGGAGAAGATGGCGGACGACCTGCTCGCGGCGGCGGACAAGTACGCGTTGGAGAGGCTGAAGGTAATGTGCGAGGAAGCGCTCTGCACGAGTTTAGCCATCGAGAACGCGGCCGACATCCTCATTCTCGCTGATCTTCATAGCGCCGATCAACTCAAGGCGCAAGCCATAGACTTCATTAATACGTAAGTTGTTGTTCGCTCGAGCGAGCTGGGAATGCGGCTTCCTCCGTCCGTTCTTTGCGTCTTGAATCGGCGCTTTTCACAGTTTTTAACGCATTGCAATTGAAATGTAACAGTAAACCAAAAGGGGAACAACTCGAACAGTTGTTTCCTTTTCATATGGTAATTAGAAGAGAAACGATTACGTGGCACTTTGACCAGGTAGCAGTTGGTAACGTTAAGGTATCTTCAGGGCGCAAAGGGTCGATGAAAATCAGAAACAAGAGACATCCTCCGATAGAAAGACGCGAACGGGTATTAAAGGTCGTATTGATTCGGTTTTTCTAGACACGCGACGGACGTGATGGACACGGCGGGTTTCAAGTCGATGGTGAACTCGCATCCGCACCTGATCGCGGAAGCGTTTCGCGCGCTCGCCACCCAACAGATCCCACCGATCGGTCCGCCCAGGAAGCGAGTGAAACAGAGCTGAAAACAGTCACCGCTGACACCGGGCACGACCTCCACGTCGCCCCCGCCTATTTTGCATCCTTCATGAGAAAATGGAGAGGATACGATGAAGAATGAGATGAAATGAAATGAAATGAAATGAAATGAAATGAAATGAAATGAAATGAAACGAAAATGAAAATGATAATGAAAATGATAATGATAATGATAATGATAATGAAATGACAAGACAGTTTGTACAGTGATAAAACGAAGTAGTGTTCTAAATAAATGTTTCCTAGTGCGCCATCCTCTGGTGTCCACTGCGAAAAGCAAACGGGGAGGACTGTTCTTCGAACGGCGGCTGAAAGGGAAGAGACTATCTCGCGCGCGCGTTGTTTCCGTCTTCTCTTCGCCGACTGCATGTGTGCGTGCGCAAGCCTCTTCGAGGGCACAGATACGCAGCAAGAGGGTAGCCCACACGCCGCGGATAGAATGTGTATGCGTGCGCCTGTATGTATGTGTATGCGTGAGAATGAAAGAGAGAGAGAGAGAGAGACTTCGTTGTAATTCAGTGGGTCGTCGATGTTGAAGAGGATACCCCGTCTATCACAGAACCAGAGTGCGCCGACGAGCAAGCAACCAGCGACACGTAGGGTCAGAATTGGGCCGGAGACGGTGCACTGGACACTCTCTTTTTTCCGCATCTTCCTGACGGTCAGCGTCTTCCTTGAACTGGAGGCCACAGATTGTAGTCGTCAGTCTCGAAAGAAAGGCCAATTGTCGAGACGCCCAACGATCCGTCGCCGTGAATAAGGTCTCGCGTGGATTTGACGAAGAAGCTGGATTACCATCAGTCTCGAAGGATCAAGTCTGTAAGCAACCTTAGGACCAAGCAGAGATCGAAGCTAGCTGGCAGAAATTGCTACGACTCGTCATACATTGGAGACACATCGTACACACACACACACACACAGGTACACGCATTCTTACACAGCAGGCACACACGTGACACATAAAGTAAACGTGAAATGCACGAAGGAAGTTGTGATAGACGTCGGCCGGGCGATTAAACATTTTGTTCCTTTGTCGAAGAAGAAGAAGGAGATGAAGAAGAAGAAGAAGAAGAAGAAGAAGAAGAAGAAGAAGAAGAAGGAGAAGAAGATGAAAAAGAAGAAGAACGCATCGAACGATGTCCCACGCATGTTCGTCAAGTAACGAGCAAGGAATATGTTATATGTATATATATATATGTGCATATAAGCATATATATATATGTATATATACATGTATATATATACATATATATAAATGTATAAACATAGTATATGACATATACCATGTTTATTACCGATAGTGATTTTTTAGTTTAATGGAGACAGACGAATTAACGGAACGTGAAACTCTTCCAGATACGGAGAAAAAAATGAATTCTAGTTAGGGTTTTTTATGATCTCTTTCTCTCAACTTGTACGACTACTACTATGATTACTATTAACGCTATGCAATCTGTGCCCCCTCCCTCGCCCCTAGCCACTACTCGTATTTTTGTATATTTTGTCCCCGTCAACGAACACACACACACACACACTGTCCCTCGAGAACTCGATGCTGGATTCTCCCGATCTGTTGCACAGTTAACCAGCCAATTTTTCGGATGCGTGATCTGTGATCTGAAATGATTCGTTGTATGTTCGGGTAAATGTGATTACGATAGGATTTACGATGCTGCGAGTATTCCGACCTAATTTAATTAGAAAATTCGTTTGGTTCGATATAATCGAGAGGGCTAAAAATTCATATTACTAATATATTATTATTGTTTGCGACGCGGTAACCGCGAGTTCAATTGGATATCGTTTTAACAATTGACCAATGACCGGCCATTTTAACAGAGAACGGGCATCCAGCCTCCAACGCGGCCTTCTTCTCTCCCTCCTCCCCGATTATCATTAGGCACAGTTTGTTTTGTTTTCTCGAGTATTGCATAGTAGATGAAGTGATAGATTCGAATTATTATTATTATAATATTATATTATTATTAATATTATTATTATTCTTATTATTATTATTATTATTATTATATTATTATTATATTATTATTATTGTATTAAATTTAGGGTTGTCCATAATTTATCGAATTTTACGTTGATTATTGAAATGTCTATCGTACTTGTGCGCAGGATTTACAACAGGCATTGATTAGGTGATTTGTGAACAAACTATACCATATTATTCTAAAGGGGAAAAAAAATGGAGAAAAAAGAGATACACTGCGAACGACACGAACGACAACAAGATAGAGAGAACAACGCGAGAAATCATGGACAAGATATGGAAATCAAACTGAGAGATAGATAGGAGAGAATGACGCGGAGAGAAAGGGAGAACGAAAGGCAGAGAGAGAAAGTGAGAGAGAGAGAGAGAGAGGGTGGGAGAGAAAGGGAGAGAGAGAGAGAGAGAGAGA